TCACACATTCTCTTCAGCTCGCTGTGTGCGGCAATCAGGGCGATTTGGCCATTCACCCTCTGGCGTTACGCTTCAAAGCGCGGGAAGCTATCCCAGGGATACCCAAATGAGTGTTAAGCACGATAAAACAAGGTTATTTGCAACAATTCGATCGCCGCCCTCCACGCTTCCGAGCGCGGCTCGAAACGACTGTGAACACGGCAGCAGCCTGCATGCTTCGTTCAGAAATAGCAAACCTTCTGTGCAAAAGGGCCATAGAGAGAGTGCCGCCTTCTCTGAGCGAGTCGGGGTTTTACAGCCGTTATTTTCTTGTTCCCAAGAAAGACGGTGGCCTCAGACCGATTTTGGATCTCAGATTTTTGATCAGGGTGCTTGTGAAAAGACCTTTCAAAATGCTTACAGTCAGGAAACTCCTCGCGCACGTGCGCCAGGGGGACTGGTTTTTATCTCTCTCTCGAAAAGATGCTTATTTTCAGATTCAGATAAATCCCCGTCACAGGCCATTCTTGAGATTCGCCTTCGACGGTCAGGTTTATCAATACACCGTCCTTCCATTCGGCCTGTCCCTAGCACCCCGTGTTTTTACGAAGTGCATGGACGCGGCGCTCGCACCCCTGCGGAGCCAGGGCTTGCGAATACTAAACTATTTGGACGATTGGCTGATTTTGCCACAATCACAGACGGAGCTACTGTCTCACAGGACAGTTCTCCTCAGTCATCTGAACAGCCTGGGTCTCACAATCAATTGGACCAAGAGCTCACTTCAGCCCAGTCGAGCGATTTCCTTCCTTGGAATAGAGCTAGACTCCGTGGCTATGTCGGCTCGCTTATCAACACAGCGCGCGCGCCGTGTTCAGCGACTAGCCGCATCTTTTCAGATGAACAACCTCACGCCTCTGAAACTATTTCAGAAGATGCTAGGTTACATGGCCTCAGCCTCAGCAGTACTCCAGCTGGGTTTACTGCGCATGCGCCCGCTTCAACATTGGCTAAACACCCGCGCGTTTTGCCGGGCTTGGGCCACAGGCCGCCAGCTGATCAGAGTGACTCAGACCTGTATTTCAGCTCTACAGCCCTGGACAGTGGCCGAATGGTACCAGCGGGGAGTGATGATGGGAGCTGTATCCCGCCGAAAAGTCATCTCGACAGACGCGTCCAACACGGGTTGGGGCACGGTCTGCGAAGGCTCACCGGTGTTTGGCCTATGGTCAGTACAGGAAAAGCTCCTTCACATAAATTGTCTGGAAATGATAGCGGTCGAGTACGCGCTCGTGCGCTTCCTCCCGGTCATTCAGGGTCACCACGTCCTGGTCCGTTCGGACAACAGATCTGTGGTATCCTATCTAAACCGTCAAGGCGGCGTCAGGTCCAGGAACCTCTTCCACCTGACAGAACACATACTGAGTTGGTCCCAGTGCCATCTGCGCTGGCTGAGAGCGACGCATGTGCCAGGCCACCTGAACGACGGCCCAAACAGACTGTCCAGAGACAATATTCCCCCAGGGGAATGGTCTCTGCACGCTCTAACAGTCCAGATGCTGTGGCGCCTATTCGGCAGAGCAGAGATAGAGCTCTTTGCGTCAGAGGAGAACTCTCACTGCCCAGTGTTTTTCTCGAAAAGCGAGGATGCGCTGGCCCAGGACTGGCCCAACCGCCTGCTTTACTCCTTCCCTCCCATCTCGCTATTACCACAGGTAATACAGAGGATCAGGGAAACGCGCTGCTCGGTGCTCCTCATAGCCCCGCGCTGGGACAATCAGACATGGTTTCCGGAGCTTACGCAGCTGTCACTGACAGCCCCGTGGCCCATTCCAGTGAGATCAGATCTCCTCTCTCAAGCTCGCGGCACGATCTGGCATCCCCACCCAGAGCGCTGGGCGCTGCACGCGTGGGTGATCAACGACTACCCGTCGCTTTGCCAGAGGGCGTTATGAACACTATCATACATGCTAGAGCTCCCTCCATGAGAAGACTCTACGCGTCCAAATGGTCTGTGTTTTTAAAATGGTGCACCGACAGAGATCTGGACCCACGGACATGTGGGGTTTCGCCGCTGCTCGTGTTTTTACAAGAGCTATTGGATAAGGGCAGGTCCCCATCCACGCTCAAAGTATACGTGGCGGCCGTCGTGGCGTTCGCTGAACCCCTGCACGGCCAGTCACTGGGAAAAAACGAGCTGGTCTTCCGCTTCCTCAGGGGAGCTAGAAGGATGAACCCCCCGCGCCCCCCATCGGTTCCTATCTGGGATCTTTCTATAGTTCTCGAAGCTATGAAAGCCCCTCCTTTCGAACCGCTTCAATCCGTGGATGTGAAATACCTTTCACTCAAAACCGTTTTTCTGACTGCCTTGTCATCAGTTAAACGTGTGGGAGACCTTCATGCGCTGTCTCTCAGCACTGCGTGTCTTGAGTTTGGTCCAAGGTGATTTTAAAGCTTAGACACGGCTATGTCCCCAAGGTGATCGGTACCCCATTCAGAGCGCAGATCATTTCCCTATCGGCTCTGCCAACATCCGATAGCGAATGTGATGCCAATCTCCTCTGCCCCACTCATAGGGCTCCCCGGGGTTTTTTTTTCTCCCCCTGGGCGCATGCTGTGGATGCTTGGCGCGCACGGCGTTGACAATGGGTTCCCCTAGCGTAAGCTAGCTTACGCAATACGAGAGAACCTCTCGTAAGAGAACGAATCGGTTACCTAACGTAACCTCGGTTCTCTCTAGATGAGGGAACGAGTATTGCGTAGCCGGCCGTGCTCGCGCCACGAGCGTTTTTTTCCGCTTCATTCTATGAAAACCAGGGATGCAGCCTTTGGACCGCTCTAATATACACTCTAGCCACGCCCAGTTTGGCGGGCTGTGACGTGATGAAGGCGCGAGCACCTCTCATTGGACGCGAGTTCATTCTGTCCGTCCATAGGCTGCAGCAGTTCCAGCAGAGCGACCAATGAGCTCGCTAGATAGCCCGCTCAAGGTCTGCAGCTGCTGCACTGCGTTGACAATGGATACAAAATTAAGGATAATTTTTTGGCTTCAATAATTCAGAAAAGATGAATCTTTCCCGTAGCGTAAGCTAGCTTACCCAATACTCGTTCCCTCATCTAGAGAGAACCGAGGTTACGTTAGGTAACCGATTCGTTACGGTCAACGGAGGCATGGGATTAGATGCGTAATAAATTAGTCCTACATACAAGAGCGTTTTAATGACAAAAACTTGACAAACGTCTTGAAATGCATCATCTGAACAATGTTTCGAGGTGTGGTAACTGTAGTATAAGCAGAATAATTGACTTCAGGCCGTTGAATTATTAGAAAAATAATGCACATCCGAAGTGTAACGGCCACCTCGGGTGTGTTATTTTTCTAATAATTCGACGGCCTGTCGTGAATTATGCCTTATATTTGATCTGTTTTAAGCACAACTAAACAGTCTCCAGCAATAGGCTGTGAGTTCAAATACATTTGGGTTGTTCTTAAAAGATGCAGTATACAAATATATTTCGGATTTTCGAGTGGAAAATTGTTTTAGGCTTCTATTAGGCTAATATGCACTCCCCTCGTGCGAATAGAGACAATCATTCAAAATCTATATTTAGTCATTTTGAACTTAGTATAAGAGGAACAGGTTTATTTTACTATTAAAATATTTACAATCTTTACTATAACATTTGAAATATCTTTCCAGCATAGTTGAGTAGGCTCGAACAATCCCCACCAAGGTACATACGACAAGTGCTTTGGAGAATGGATGGATATGGAATGAAATGGTATGGTTTTTGGCGCCACCTTGTGGCTCTATGCTATTTTGTGGTCATGGTGATTGCTCTGTGACCTCTAGAAGGCAGTGTTTGCCAATTTAGCAACTTAGTCGATAGATTAGCAACTTTTCAGATATAGCCAGTGCAAGTAGTTGGCCAACATACATTTCCAAGGTGAGTTCAATATTAGGTTACATACACCCTGTAAACAAGATTTATTGTGCAGACTTTTTACATAGCATTTGAATTGGTGTCAGTAAATCTACTCTTGCATTCACCATTCACTCCACTTACTGCATAGTTACTACTACTTGCTAAAATAATAAATGATACACATTTCAAACAGTAATACATTGTTGTCACATGACGTCATTATTTTGCATGTTTAATTCTCCCTTGACATGCTATTAGAATTAGTGTAATTGTGAGTAGCCGACTTGGAAATTGCACATGAACCACTTCTCAAAACATAATGAGGTAACACATTAGGTTAGAGTCCAATTCTCAACATGAAGTTGCTTATTAGCATGCATATTACTAGGATATTGGCTATTTATTAGTACTTATAAAGTACATATTAATGCCTTATTCTGCATGACCATATTCTACATCCTTTAATCCCACCCAATACCTAAACTTAACAACTACCATACTAACTATTGATAAGCAGTAATTATGAGTGAGAATTGGGCCCTAATCTAAAGCGTAACCCATTATGATTGTGAACTTCTGTTTGGGAACCAAGTTACCAGGTTGGGGAGACCCATAACCTTTGTGGCCTACTTATTTTCTTATTTTTTATTTATTTATGCCCACTCACAATTTCTTTTTTTTTTTGTTGCTGCTTGTTCAAAATGTTAATTATTAGTTCTAATATTGATATTGCTTGTTCTAGTGTTGTTCTACAAACCTAAATTAATTGTGTGGAGAGGTTTTTCTCAATTTAATTCAGTTCATTTAACAAATATATTTTGAGTGCTCTGCGGTGGTCTCATCTCGGTGACTGGTCAACTAGATTTCAATTCATTGAGAGTGATGGTCACGGCAATGATCCCTGGTTCTTTGTCACAGACTAGTTGCAGACTTAAATGTGAAAGCTTGTGTAATAGTGTGCACTAGTCTTAAGGAACTATGAATGATAAAAAGATATAAACATCTACAAGCTTAAATTGATAATCATCAATCAATAATGTCATCTTAAGTAAATAGCATTTATGTTCTTAATGTATGAAACAAGTTATAATTACCTCAGTTACCACTCTGGATGCCAATGTAAAGAAAGCAGAGGATGATGTGTTCCTATATATTTCTTGGAAAATTTCGTTTAGACTGAATCTTAACCCTATGCTTCTTTCATCAAGGTAAGGGGGATCAGTATTTGTGGTTACTCGGGCTGCTGTAGCAGGAGTAATTGTTGATCCCTCTGTTATTGGTGCTGCTGTAGCGGGAGCAATTGTTGATACTGTTGTACCAGATGCTCTTAATGTAGTTTGTCCTGCTGATGAAGAATCCATATCAGCTTGTGTTGTAGTTTCTTGTGTCACTCTTTTGACAGTGGTGGAGACCTCTGAGGTATGAGTCACTGTTACTGGCTTCATTGACATTGACATTGACATTGTAGTTTCTGTTTGGGATGGTAAAGGTTCTGTTGTGACTTGAGATGTTTCTGGTGCCAGTGTTGAAGCTTTGGTTTCAGTAACAGACTCTGCCAGGGCTGTTGTTGTTGTCAATGTATCTAATGCTATAGAATGAAACCCAGTAGATGAACCTTCAGCTAGTGTAGTCTTGGTTATTTCTGGTTCATTTCTAATGGTTGATGCTGTGGTTGTCCCTGATACAGTTGCTGGCAATGCTGATGTCACTCCTGCTGATGCTGCAATATTTGCACTTGTTGTTGGGACTAACAATGTTGGAGCTTCTGCATATGATTCTGTAGTTCTGGATGTTCCTCCAGCTGTTGTCTTTACTTCAACTGCTTCAGTTAGAGGTGATGATTCCTCTGTTATTGGTGCTGCTGTAGTCGGAGTAAGTGTTGATTCTGTTGTACCAGATGCTCTTAATGTAGTTTGTCCTGCTGATGAAGAATCCATATCAGGTTGTGTTGTAGGTTTTTCTGTCACTCTTTTGACAGTGGCGGAGACCTCTGAGGTATGAGTCACGGTTACTGGCTTCATCGACATTAATGTTGTAGTTTCTGTTTGGGATGGTAAAGGTTCTGTTGTGACTTGAGATGTTTCTGGTACCAATGTTGAAGCTTTGTGTGCAGTAACAGACTCTGCCAGGGCTGTTGTTGTTGTCACTGTATCTACTGCTATAGAATGTAATCCCGTAGATGAACCTTCAGCTAGTGTAGTCTTGGTTGCTTCTGATTCATTTCTGATGGTTGATGCTGTTGTTGTCCCTGAAACAGTTGCTGGCAATGCTGATGTCAATCCCGCTGATGCTGCAGTAGTTGCACTTGTTGTTGGCACTAACAATGTTGGGGCTTCTGCAGATGATTCTGTAGTTCTGGATGTTCCTGCAGCTGTTGTCTTTACTTCACCTGCTTCAGTTAGAGGTGATGATTCCTCTGTTATTGGTGCTGCTGTAGTCGGAGTAAGTGTTGATTCTGTTGTACCAGATGCTCTTAATGTAGTTTGTCCTGCTGATGAAGAATCCATATCAGGTTGTGTTGTAGGTTTTTCTGTCACTCTTTTGACAGTGGCGGAGACCTCTGAGTTATGAGTCACTGTTACTGGCTTCATCGACATTAATGTTGTAGTTTCTGTTTGGGCTGCTAAAGGTTCTGTTGTGACTTGAGATGTTTCTGGTGCCAATGTTGAAGCTTTGGTTGCAGTAACAGACTCTGCCAGGGCTGTTGTTGTTGTCAATGTATCTAATGCTATAGAATGAAACCCAGTAGATGAACCTTCAGCTAGTGTAGTCTTGGTTATTTCTGGTTCATTTCTGATGGTTGATGCTGTGGTTGTCCCTGATACAGTTGCTGGCAATGCTGATGCCAATCCTGCTGATGCTGCAGTAGTTGCACTTGTTGTTGGCACTAACAATGTTGGGGCTTCTGCAGATGATTCTGTAGTTCTGGATGTTCCTGCAGCTGTTGTCTTTACTTCCCCTGCTTCAGTTAGAGGTGATGATTCCTCTGTTATTGGTGCTGCTGTAGTCGGAGTAAGTGTTGATTCTGTTGTACCAGATGCTCTTAATGTAGTTTGTCCTGCTGATGAAGAATCCATATCAGGTTGTGTTGTAGGTTTTTTTGTCACTCTTTTGACAGTGGCGGAGACCTCTGAGTTATGAGTCACGGTTACTGGCTTCATCGACATTAATGTTGTAGTTTCTGTTTGGGCTGCTAAAGGTTCTGTTGTGACTTGAGATGTTTCTGGTGCCAATGTTGAAGCTTTGGTTGGAGTAACAGACTCTGCCAGGGCTGTTGTTGTTGTCAATGTATCTAATGCTATAGAATGAAACCCAGTAGATGAACCTTCAGCTAGTGTAGTCTTGGTTATTTCTGGTTCATTTCTAATGGTTGATGCTGTGGTTGTCCCTGATACAGTTGCTGGCAATGCTGATGTCACTCCTGCTGATGCTGCAATAGTTGCACTTGTTGTTGGGACTAACAATGTTCGAGATTCTGCAGATGATTCTGTAGTTCTGGATGTTCCTGCAGCTGTTGTCTTTACTTCACCTGCTTCAGTTAGAGGTGATGATTCCTCTGTTATTCGTGCTGCTGTAGTCAGAGTAATTTTTGATTCTGTTGTATCAGATGCTCTTAATGTAGTTTGTGCTGCTGATGAAGAACCCATATCAGCTTGTGTTTTAGGTTCTTGTGTCACTCTTTTGACAATGGTGGAGACCTCTGAGTTATGAGTCACTGTTACTGGCTTCATCGACATTAACGTTGTAGTTTCTGTTTGGGATGGTAAAGGTTCTGTTGTGACTTGAGATGTTTCTGGTACCAATGTTGAAGCTTTGGTTGCAGCAACAGACTCTGCCAGGCTTGTTGTTGTTGTCAATGTATTTACTGCTATAGATTGTAATCCAGTAGATGAGCCTTCAGCTAGTGTAGTCTTGGTTATTTCTGGTTCATTTCTAATGGTTGATGCTGTGGTTGTCCCTGGCACTAACAATGTTGGGGCTTCTGCAGATGATTCTGTAGTTCTGGATGTTCCTGCAGCTATTGTCTTTACTTTACCTGCTTCAGTTAGAGGTGATGATTCCTCTGTTATTCGTGCTGCTGTAGTCAGAGTAATTTTTGATTCTGTTGTATCAGATGCTCTTAATGTAGTTTGTGCTGCTGATGAAGAACCCATATCAGCTTGTGTTTTAGGTTCTTGTGTCACTCTTTTGACAGTGGCGGAGACCTCTGAGGTATGAGACACTGTTACTGGCTTCATTGACATTAACATTGTAGTTTCTGTTTGGGCTGGTAAAGGTTCTGTTGTGACTTGAGATGTTTCTGGTGCCAATGTTGAAGCTTTGGTTGCAGTAACAGACTCTGCCAGGGCTGTTGTTGTTGTCAATGTATCTAATGCTATAGAATGTAATCCAGTAGATGAGCCTTCAGCTAGTGTAGTCTTGGTTATTTCTGGTTCATTTCTAATGGTTGATGCTGTGGTTGTCCCTGATACAGTTGCTGGCAATACTGATGTCACTCCTGCTGATGCTGCAGTAGTAGCACTTGTTGTTGGGACTAACAATGTTGGAGCTTCTGCGTATGATTCTGTAGTTCTGGATGTTCCTGCAGCTGTTGTCTTTACTTCACCTGCTTCAGTTAGAGGTGATGATTCCTCTGTTATTGGTGCTGCTGTAGTCTGAGTAATTTTTGATTCTGTTGTACCAGATGCTCTTAATGTAGTTTGTCCTGCTGATGAAGAACCCATATCAGCTTGTGTTTTAGGTTCTTGTGTCACTCTTTTGACAGTGGCGGAGAACTCTGAGGTATGAGACACTGTTACTGGCTTCATTGACATTAACATTGTAGTTTCTGTTTGGGCTGGTAAAGGTTCCATTGTGACTTGAGATGTTTCTGGTGCCAGTGTTGAAGCTTTGGTTGCAGTAACAGACTCTGCCAGGGTTGTTGTTGTTGTCAATGTATCTTCTGCTATAGAATGAAACCCAGTAGATGAAACTTCTGCTAGTGTAGTCTTGGTTATTTCTGGTTCATTTCTAATGGTTGATGCTGTGGTTGTCCCTGATACAGTTGCTGGCAATGCTGATGTCACTCTAGCTGATGCTGCAGTAGTTGCACTTGTTCTTGGGACTAACAACGTTGGAGCTTCTGCAGATGATTCTGTAGTTCTGGATGTTCCTGCAGCTGTTGTCTTTACTTTACCTGCTTCAGGTGATGATTCCTCTGTTATTGGTGCTGCTGTAGTCTGAGTAATTTTTGATTCTGTTGAACCAGATGCTCTTAAAGTAGTTTGTCCTGCTGATGAAGAATCCATATCAGGTTGTGTTTTAGGTTCTTGTGTCACTCTTTTGACAGTGGTGGAGACGTCTGAGGTATGAGACACTTTTACTGGCTTCATTGACATTGACATAGTAGTTTCTGTTTGGGCTGGTAAAGGTTCTATTGTGACTTGAGATGTTTCTGCTGCCGATGTTGAGGCTTTGGTTGCAGTAACAGACTCTGCCAGGGCTGTTGTTGTTGTCACTGTATCTACTGCCATAGAATGTAATCCAGTAGATGAACCTTCAGCTACTGTAGTCTTGGTTGTTTCCAGTTCATTTCTAACAGTTTCTGCTGGGGTTGTGCCCAGTGCAGTTGCTAATGTTGCTCCTGTTGATGAAGTAGTTGTACTTGTTGCCTCTGCAGCTGTAAAAAGAGCACTAGATGCTGGTATTTTTGTTGTTGGTGGTACCGTTTCTGATGCAGACACTGTTGTTTCACTTGGTGTTATTGAATCTGTCTTGGCTGGTAATGGTTCCGTTGTGACTTGAGGTGATGATGCCTCTGTTATTGCTGACTGCGTCGTTGATTTTATTGCAGATTGTACTGGGAAGATTGTCACTGCCTCTGTTGTAGCTACTTTTTGTGTAGGCTGAAGTGTTGTCATGACCTCTATAGGTAAAGCAAACGAGCAACAGGTTAGTGTACAATAATAACATTCAAATCATTTAGTGTAACAATTTTGGTAGTAATCAGTAATAAACTCTTTTGTTGTTGTTAAAATGTTCTTTTATAAATGTTCTTTTAAACATTACTTTGCTTGATGTTGCTTTTGTTTTCCAGCACCATATATATTCATTATTAACTGCCCTGTCATAAAAAGAATGCAAAAATGGCAAACCTAAAAAATGTCTATCTGCTCTTCCTGCAGCTAACCGTAATACATAATTATCTCACTGGCTTGACTAGTGCAGTTCAGCACTTGCCATTGTATTCGGGTTAAAGGGTTACATTAAAGGTTGTATCAGAGATTTCAGGCCCAAAAAAGGCCCAAACATAAATGATCACATTAATCTAATCTTTCCTAACGATCCGCTAGCTGCCCGCCCCATAAGCAGGCCGTCAAAAATCCACGTCTCTGTAGGCAGCCTAGGCTCTGAGATCTGCACACAAAAACAAATTGTTTCACCAACCACTCAAAACCAAAATAAATAGTGTTCCAACCAATCACCGACAGGGGGTGGGTGTTGTGAGGTTTTGCACTCGTGCAAGGTTGCACGCGAAGTCGGAGCTGAAGAAGAAGCCAGCGTCTATCAACGAACCCATGTCGGTGATTGGTTGGAACACTATTTATTTTGTGTTTGGGCCTGAAATCACTGATGCAACCTTTAATATGGTATCCAATGAAATAATATGCAAGTCCCAGGCACTCAATAAGTAGATAATGAGGAGAAGGAGAAGGTTAAAAAGCCTTTATTAGATACTTCTACTTCCTGCTCTGCTACTGTTCGGACGCTCTTGCTTACCGCTCCGCGCTTTGCTCTATCGCTTTTATATTTTTATATTTTATCTCCTTTTATCACCTAATTTTAACTTCAGCTAATCAGCACAGTGCTCAAACGCTTGGATTACTACAAAAAAGCAGAATTCTTTTATTCAACCAGCCTCCCACTGCTTACATTCCGGGGAAGAAAACACAATTGCCTACATTCTAAAGGATAAGAGAAAATGCCTCTTCTGGAATCTACTTGCTGCACTAACTGCCAGAGACTTTTACAAAGGATTGCAGTTCTTGAAACAAAGTTACTTGTGGGACCACCAAACCAGACGGAACACACAACAGAGCTTCATCATGGACGCCCTCAGCATACAGCCGGTGAGTCCCATGAATCTAGTCCTCCTCGACAGACCATACTGAGTGTAGAGAAACAAGCCGATCGACTTACAAATCGATGGCACAAACAGGGAGCGAGACCCAAAGGCACTCGAGACATCAGATTGTCACGAGCATCACACATTGCCGCAGTAGCATCCTCTACCCCAGATATGGCTTTGACAAGGATTGCAAACACTGGTCTCCTACCACCGCCTATACATCTTGAGAACAGATTTGAAGTATTAATGAATGAGGAATCCCTGAATGTGATGAATGTGATCGAACACAGACTGAACCAGCCAGTAGCTAACACTGCTAACTGGCGCTCAAGTTCGAGCAGACAGCGGCACTCAGCTCAGAGCGCAGCCGAGCCCAGGACTCTGATAGTGGGTGACTCCATAATCAGAAACATTATTAGCAGGGACACAACTACGTGCTGCCTTCCACAAGCAACGACTTCTGATGTAAACAGGGAACTTAAGAACATTCTGACGAAACATAAGACTGCAAATCGACTCATCATTCATGTGGGGAAAAATGATATTCATAAAGAGCAGTCAGAACTCCTTAAGAAGGATTTCAATGAACTTTTTGAAACACTTAAAAGACTGAAAGTACAACCATTCATCAGTGGACCACTACCAGCAAGAGGAACAAACAGGTTTTCACGGCTGCCTGGGCTCAACACATGGCTGCAAAAAACCTGCAATATAAAAGGAGTAAACTTCATTGACAACTTCAATCTTTTCTGGAGTCAGAGGCAACTGTTTCAACAGGATGGCCACCACCCAAACAAACTTGGTTCAAGAGTGCTAAAGGACAATATCTACTTCTCCCTCAATCATCCTTCTGCAGTGTGTGCCAATCCACTCAACCTGAATGGCACACACACACCTGGACACAGTATGAATGACCACAGGACTTCACTTCAGCACCTGGATGGACATGCGGTTGACATATCACACAAGGACAATGATAACACCATGCAGCCACAACAACTTCTGCTCACGGACACAATCTCAGCTGAGCCCTGCCCACAGAGCTCACCACAGACAGACTGTGACATACTAGAACTGCTCCAAGTTTCAGCTCCCAAGGACGACTTGTTAGAAAACCAGGACAGCATTTTACAGCCTCCAATAACAGCAGAGAAACAGCCCCCTCCAGCCTCTACCCTCTCACCAGACACGTTATCCCTGTCTCCAGCATCTCCACAGCATCTTCTGTGCTTCTCAGAGAAAATGGAAAAACTGGTGTTTGCTGGAACCAAACTATCTGCAAGCCCCCAGACATCAACCGAAAAACGGCAGGCCCCAAAACCACGAAAGCCTGCGGGCCCAGCTCGCTCTCCGCTTGTGAGAGCTCTTCGGCCTCTGCAAAAATGCCAGGGCTCACACCCTCCTCTATCGGCTCGAGGTGAACCAAAAACAACTGATACCAGCTCTCAGTGATATGTGCCGGGTGCCCGCTATGAAAACAGTAACTTTCTCAAATGTTTACAGAACAAGCGGGAACCCAGTGTGCCTGTATCTTTCTCCATTGCTGTTCGATTACATGATAGAAAGTCTAAGGCCTTCAAAAGCCGTACAGCAAACCCATCTAATCTGGTGCCTATTACACGCCAAACTAAGACAAAAGTAACAAAAAGTAAGACTGTTAAGTTAGCACTATTAAACATCCGCTCACTTAAAAATAAATCACTTCTAGTCAATGACTTAATAACCACATACAACCTGGATTTTATGCTTCTAAATGAAACTTGGCTAGAAGACAGCTGCAGTTCAACAGTCCTCAATGAAACAGCCCCTCCTAACTTTACTTTTATGAGTGTCTGCAGAGCGGGTAAGAGAGGTGGAGGAGTAGCTGCTCTTTTTAAAGATGTCTATCAATGTAAGCAAACATCATTTGGTAACTACCCCTCTTTTGAATATCTGGGTATTGTATTAAAGGGTGCCCCACGCATTTTACTTATCATTATTTACAGGCCTCCAAAATACTCTCCAGCCTTTGCTGAGGACTTTACAGAACTGTTATCAACAATTTCCTCAGAGTTTGACTGTTTTGCTATTACTGGAGATTTTAACATTCACATAGATAATGATACAAATATGGCAAAAGAAATCAAAACTGTTTTAAAAACTTTTGATCTGATTCAGCATGTACATGGACCCACACACAATCGTGGACACACTCTAGATTTACTTATCAGTAAGGGTTTAAACATCTCATCGATTGTTATTAAGGATGTAGCACTGTCTGATCATTTCTGTATTTTCTTTGATATATTGATCTCTCCTGCCATTGAAGCTAGATCTGTGTCTGTCAAGAAGAGATGTTTAAATGAGAACACTAGTGTGCTATTTATGAAGGCCATATCTTTAAAACCAAGCATATCTGCTGACTCTGTTGATTTTCTCCTTGATTCTTTTAACTCAAAGGTTAAAGGTGTAATAGTTTATATTGCTCCTGTGAAAGTCAGGAAGAGTGGTAGACAAAAAGCACCTTGGAGAAACTCAACAGATGTGCAAAATATGAAAAGAACATGCAGAAAAACAGAGCGCATGTGGCGGAAGACAAAACTTGTAGTCCATTATAACATCTATAAAGACAGCATCCATGCTTTTAATATTGAACTAGGCAAAGCTAGACAGACTTTCTTCTCAAATATTATAAACAGCAACTTAAACAACACACGCACTCTTTTTGCTACTGTAGAGAGACTGAAAAACCCCCCAAGCCAGATTCCCAGTGAAATGCTCTCAGACAGCAAGTGCAGTGAGTTTGCTTCTTTCTTCTCTGAGAAAATTAAGAATATCAGAAAGGTGATCAGCACATCATTGAGCCGCACTGGGGTCAGACAGATCAGACCACAACCTGAGAAAGTAGTTACTATGTCTGTTTTCGAAGAAATTGATGGCAAAATTTTGGAAGAAAAAGTACAGCACCTTAAAACATCAACCTGCGCCTTTGACGCACTTCCCACATCTTTCTTCAAAAGTGTGTTAAACAGTTTAGAAGCAGATCTCCTAAAAGTGGTTAATGCCTCACTTCTTTCTGGTAGTTTTCCAAACTCCCTGAAAACTGCAGTTGTCAAGCCCCTCCTGAAAAAGAGCAATCTAGATAAGACTATATTAAGCAACTATAGACCGATCTCAAATCTTCCTTTTATAGGCAAGATCATTGAAAAAGTTGTCTTCAATCAGCTGAACAAATTCTTAATCTCGAATGGATACTTTGACAATTTTCAATCTGGTTTCCGATCACATCACAGCACAGAGACAGCTCTCATAAAGATAATTAACGATATTCGCTTAAATACTGATACAGGGAAATTATCAGTGCTGGTACTACTCGACCTCAGTGCTGCATTTGACACTGTCGATCACGACATACTTCTTGACAGGCTGGAAAACTGGGTGGGGCTTTCTGGGATAGTCCTAAAATGGTTCAGGTCATACTTAGAAGGGAGAGGTTATTATGTGAGTATAGGAGACCATAAGTCTGAGTGGACGTCCATGACATGCGGAGTCCCTCAAGGCTCAATTCTTGCACCACTCCTGTTCAACCTATATATGCTCCCAATGAGCCAAATAATGAGAAAGAACCGAATCTCTTACCACAGCTCAATATATTGCAGATATGCTCACTGAATATAAACCAAACAGATCACTCAGATCATTAGGATCACATCAGCTAGAAATACCAAGGGTTCACTCTAAGCATGGAGAGTCTGCTTTTAGCTATTATGCCAGCCGCAGCTAGAACCAGCTTCCAGAGGAGATCAGATGTGCTCCTACAGTAGTCACTTTCAAATCCAGACTCAAAACACATCTGTTTAGTTATGCATTTACTGAATGAGCACTGTGCCACTGTCCGTCCGACTGTTTTTACTGTACTTTATTTTTTATTCTAAACTGTTTTAATTATTCTTATTTGTTTTGATTATTTTAATTTCTTCTATGTAAAGCACTTTGAATAACCATTGTGTATGAAATGTGCTATATAAATAAACTTGCCTTGCCTTGCCTTGCCTTTATTAGATAGCCATATCTAATAAAGGCTTTTTAACCTTCTCCTTCTCCTCATTATCTACTTATTGAGTGCCTGGGACTTGCATATTATTTCATTGGATCCTTTCCCTACCCCCGGATATACTTCACCTGAGCGCCTGGTTGAATCTCTTTTACTTTAATATGGTATGTCAAGTTGAAAAAGGTTTTTCGTGAGGTTTAAGCGTGCAAGCAGACCATCTACGGGACAAACTGGATTCCACCATATCTTTATGTGTACAATAATAACTTTTACATTGTAATCCTTTTATTTTTAATATTTGGCTAGTGCTGTGTGCTGCTGCATGTCCCTGTGTGTGTAATAAGCAGAGTCTATGCATGTTGTGCACCCGCCTATAGGCGCACATTACTTACACACTATTTAAATAACAAAAAGACCATGCAGGGACCCGGCGCAATGCAATGCAGCACGAGGCGCGACGCAAGTTTTTTTTGCTAGTTTCAGCCTGACGCAGTTATCATTTTCACATCCTGCGCCACATTGTTTAAATAGCAAATGCATTTGCCCATCTGTGCACCCATGGGCGTGCTGGTCTGAAAACGAGGTTTGTTCAGGCGCATTGATGGTGCGTTGCTATTTTGAGGCAACTGAAATAGACTGCGCCATTCACCAACTGAAACCTGGTCTAAAGTCAATAGCGCAATATATTTTCTTGGTATTTAAAGAGCGCATTAGTAATGTGCTACAACGTGCATTAATGGGTCAGTAATGGGTCCACAATGCGCGCACACTCTGCTTATTAAACCCACAGGGACGCGCAGTAGCACACAAACATGCCAAATATTTAAAATAAAGGGATTACAATGTAAAAGATTATTATTGTGCACATAAAGATATGGTGGAATCCGGCTTGTCCTGTAGATGGTCTGCTCGCGCGCACGAGCAGATCAGTTTGCACTCTGGAGATGCGTTCAGTCTTTCCACTATCAAATTCCGTCATGTAAATAGCGAATACGCCATGGCGCGAGCACAACTGGCATTTAAAGGGAATGGGAGATGAGACTCTGATTGGTTTATTGCACGTAAAGGCAAAAACACACCCATTACTCATTAAGAGAATAGAGACAAACCTTTTAGACCATGCGTCTGGCACCCCGACCATTTTTCCCGTCGTTAAACTAGCAAAAGTGGATTCGGACACGCCCTAAGCGCACTTGTGCCATGCGCTTTAGACCATGCGCTTATTTCGTTAAAATAGGGCCCCAAATTTCAGTTGGTCAGTCTATTTCAGTTGCCTCAAAATAGCAACTCGTCGTCAACAATGCGCCTGAACACACCTCGTTTTCAGACCAGCACACCCTGGGCGCACAAATGGGTACAAATGCATTTGCTATTTAAACAACGTGGTGCAGGACATGAAAATGATAACTGCGTCAGGCTGAAACAAGCAAAAAACACTTGCGTTGTGCCTGGTGCCTCATTGCGCCGGGTGTATGATAGGGCCCTAAACATTTTTAGTCTGATTCAAAAACATTTAGGCTAGTCATTGCTACAGAAAAAAATGTTTGAAAGAAATGCTGATCTTTTGAAATTTCTATTCATAAGAGAATACTGAAAAAAATAAGAAAAGTTAAAAATAAATGTTTCTAGAGCAATGATTTCTTAAAATGATTTCTGAAGGATCACACTGAAGACTGGAGTAATGTTGCTGAAAATTCAGCATTGCCATCACAGGAATACATTTTAAAATATATTACAATAAAATAAGGTTACTTTAAATTGTAATAATAGGCTATTTCACAATATTACTGCTTTGCTGTATTTTTGATCAAATAAATGCAGACATGGAGACCATAGAGACTTCTTACAAAAACTTTTGCACAGAAGTGTATAGTCATAACATATTTAGTCAAACCTGTTTTAGGTATTATTGTTGTTGCAGCCCTTGCTGTTCCAGGTGCCACTGCAGACCATAAAGTTGAGGTGGAATCCGGTTCTGCAGTTCTCAATGTTCTTTCAGCACTTGTACCTACTGCAATTGTAGTTTTTAAGCTTTTAAAACTAACACCTGTTCCTGATGTAGCTGGCAGATTTGCAGATGAAATGGTAGTTCCTGTTACTTCTGGAGCATTTGAGCCATCCATTGCAGTTGTTGTGTGGATACTGATTGTAGTACCCACTGATGTTGAAGTTTCCTCTGGTGTCCCGACTATATTTCTTGTGTTTATGTCGTTTGTTAGCTGCATTGAGGTAGTTGCTGGTGTGGTTGATGGAGTGATTGTTTCTGGAAATACAGACACCGTTGATGTGGTGGCTGTTAGTTGCCTTGAGGTGTCTAATGGTACATTGTTTGCAGTGGCAGTTTTTTGTTGCACTGATGTTGTGGAATTTGTGATGGTTGTTGGCTGTCTTGGGTTGGCAGTTGGTACGATTGTTGTCGTTGGATTGGTTTCTTTTGGTAGTGTTGAAATCTGTGACTCTGTTGTTTCTGATATTTGTCTTGAGGTTGTCGTCTGTTTGCTTGTATGCACTTGAATGCTAGTTGTTAGGGGCTCTGTTGAAATTATAGATTTTGTTGTTTTGGTTGTTGATGGCCCTAAAGAGGTTGTTTCTGCAGTTGTTGGGAAAGATGAAGTGGGCAACAAACTTGTTGTAGCTGGTAATGACTCAGAGTTGAATGACTGTGTTGTATTTGAGAGTGTTGGTGTTGTGGCCAAGGTGATTGCAGGGGATGTGGGGTTTGGTTTTTTAATGGCTGCAAAAAATGAAATGTATTACATAAAGATGCAGATGAAAAGAACACATTGACATACCTGGTTACAAGTACAGAGAACTTTCTTTTGTTTGAATTTAGAAAATATAGAGAATATCTGTCATCATGCTTTACTCAGGGTTTAATTACAACATTCATTTAATTAATTAATTAATTAAATAAATTACAACATTTTGGAAATATTGATATTGATTCCTTACCTATTTCTAAAACGGGGTACCAGTATTGTCTGGAAATAACAAGTGATCCTTTCCTGCAAGATTAAATTATTAGCATATAGTATTGTGCATGACAAAAACAATTCAAGTCTAGACAAACAATGTTAACTGTTAAATTCAAATCAGTCACTATATCCACCCCTGATTATCAGTTGTTGTGTATTACCATTTAAGACTAAACCAGATACTTATTCCTACTCCTGTATCCTGACTTTGAGAGATCTCAGGGCTAAAACAGCAGATCAGCTCTGTTTTGCTATGATCAAGACCACAGAGCTTTTCAAGATGATTTTGAAAATTATATGTTGCTATGTTATATGTTAGATTAGGTATTTTCTGACTTACCTAAAAATTTTAATATCTGTACGATTGGCCACAGGCCAATTTTCCAGTGCTCTGTTCTATAGAAATAAAGAAACATAGTGCTGTTTAAAATGTGTTAAATGAATATTGAAAAACTGTGACATGACCTTACATTCAATTGGTTCCTGTTGATAACTATTTGGTCTGATGAGGCCGTATGATGTGAAACTGCTGATGATGTGAGAGAAAAAGAAAAAAAGATTACTTACTCTTTATGCATCATAGCAAACTTTTTTCTTTTCAAATTCAAAAGTATTCAATATTGGAATGTTTGATCACCGGAATGTTTATTTGCCGGTGTTATATCCCCACTGTAGACAAGGACAGATCATTTGTTTTTACCTGAATCAGACACATTTCTTTGATTTTCACACGTTGGCCCCAACAATCCTGATGGAAGAGATATATTTAGCATTATTTTGACCCTTTTTGCAGTGTTTCTGAATGTAAACACATGTTCGAAAGTGCTATATGTTGCACAAACATTAAAAACTTGAGTAGATATTTACCTATAATAATCAATAGAACCACTAAAGGGGACATTGTCCTTTTTATATCACCCCGTGTTCCTGCAAATACATTAAAAGTTATTGCACAAAATCATCAATAAAACAAGGCAATGTTTTTTTTACAGTATTATTACATTAGTCAGAAAGCAAAATACATGCTTACTGATGTTGGTGACATTACCAGATTTCTTCACTTTTTACAGACTGACTTTGAGTTCAGTTGTTTTAAGTGTTAAGTATAGGTGGAGTTTAGGTGGGACCAGACCAGAGCCAACGATTTTGTCTGAGCTATGAATAAAAAAAAATTAAACTCCGCCTATGGTTAAGAATAAATTGAACATTTCAGCCTATAAGCTTTTTAAATATCAGAATGCGTCACTTTGTCTGTCTGTATGAAAAAAAATCTGGCTCTTCTGTAATAAAACCAGTTCTGTTTCACACATACTCTGTTTTCAGTGCGTATGCGGCGCGTATTTTTCCCATACACATGCTAACAGGTTACGTGACTTGCATGTTTTTAAGAATTCAAGTCAGTTCCATTTATCACCTGGTATAAGAACATTTGCCAATCATTTTCAGCATTTACGTCATTTCCATTTTAACATATTAGTTCCATTGAATGATCAAATCTGCTCATATATGCTTTGTATAAATGAAGCCTCAACACCTTATGCGGCAAGCGTGGCCACCCAATGGTCAGAGCCACTTTTCCATGAAATGATGGTGGTTGTACAGTTTGTCGAGGGATCTTTTTTCTTTTTTTTTTGTGCTCACAAATTCAAGTGGGCCACTCTCAGAGTCCTGAAACAACCAGATGGTGAAACCCCATTAAGTCCCTGAATTCTTGACTTGCCGTAGTTTTTTTTTTTTTTATGATGGGTTCAATTAAAATGAACTTATTATAATTGCTGTTTCATCTTATTTTAAATAATTTTTTTCAACATAAATCATTTATCTTGAGGCCCCTTGGATGTTTGCTGCCCCTGTTTGAGAACTGCTGCTCTAAAATAATGTTGCAGGAAATTCACTTTCAAAAAGACAATGCAACATCATGTAACAAATGAAGAGTTCAGATGCAAAAGCCTCTAAGTGCCATCTGAATTTTTTTTCTAGAATGATCATTTTTATCAAGCTTCAATTAATAGGTTATTTTCATTGTCATTTAAGTGAAATTACTGAACTTAAATATACGAGCTTAATAAAAATGATCATTCTTGAAGAAAATTTCAGATGGCACTTAGAGGCTTTTTCATCTGAACTCTTCAAATCCTTACAGAGTTCTCAGTTTAGTTTTGAAAAAAAAAGAGAATTAGTTCTGTGAATATCGATGAGATTATAATATTGTCTTGGATTTATTGTATTATGTTGTGTGCTACACACGTGCTAGTACATAACGAGAGACAGGTAATAATCACAAGAAACCTTAGAAACAAACAAAATCTGTGTTTGAATAAGAATAAGAATAAGGGGGGTGAATGAAATCACTCCCTATAACTTCATTCATTATTTCCTGCATTCCACTATTATAGTTCACTAGAAGAAGTGAATTAAAACAAGTAAGTTCGGACACTGATTTGTTGCAAAGCAAAAAAATTGACACCGCTGTTTGTTGGAGACGCACAACAGTTCTGCTGTGGCTTTCAATTGAACTATTGTTAAATATTATTTCATTTGCTAAATAGAGCAGACAATATTGACAATACTGTGTTTAAAATGTACGACACTTAATATTAACTTTTTGTTTGTTATCACATTTGCAATCGTGTGGATATGTGGGAAAAAAATGTACAAATTTTTTTTTTTTATATATATATCGCCTTTCTACAAACTTAAGTTCGCGTTACAAAATGTTCAGTTCGGAGTTGAGTGTCTGAGTTCGGGACTTTTATGTTGAAGTGTGGTTTTGCCTGGTCTTGTCATGTCTTGTCTCACCTTGTGTCACACCTGAGCCCTCAGCCAAGGTGGCTGCCATGCCCGGGTCATCAGTCAGGGCCAGGGCCTGGTCAATCGCTAGTTAATACCAGTAACAAGGCTCAAAATAGCCCCACACTAACACGGTAGCATAATGAGGGTCCCTACATGCAAACCGAAGCATTGATAACTTTGTAAGTGTACAGACAGTTTAATAAGAAGATACTTTATAAAGACAATACACTTCGCGTATACAGGCAGGAGCCATCATGGAAAACAGTTTCGACCAGTCGAACCACGAACGCCGTGCTAAGTGAGCTGAACTGAGACTTGGAATCTCATATGAAAGCATGGGACCCCTTTTTCCCTTAGTTAGTCATCCATATATTTTAATAAACAGATATAATTCATGCATTTCCATGTAATTAGATTTCACAAATGTAATTCCGATCGACCAGCTCACTTAGCACGGCGTTCGTGGTTCGACTGGTCGAAACTGTTTTCCATGATGGCTCCTGCCTGTATACGCAATGTGTATTGTCTTTATAAAGTATCTTATTTAACTGTCTGTACACTTACAAAGTTCTCAATGCTTCGGTTTGCATGTAGGGACCCGCATTATGCTACCGTGTTAGTGTGGGGCTATTTTGAGCCTTCTTAGTGGTATTAACTAGCTATTTCTTTTTACTTATTCTATGCCCTATATTCTAGCGTTATAAGCTAAACAGTTTTTAGAGATAAAACTCTTTACATTCGATTGTCATGAAAAAAAAATCTCAGAGAATGGTCGACCCGGTACCAATGTGTTATTAGACCATAGGTTCATTTTGCGCCGGAGTTGTCCTTTAACATGCCGGAGCCTTCCGCCAGGATGGCGGTCATGCCAGAGTCTTCAGCCATCATGGACCTTAAGAGATCTTAAATCGATCTCTGTGCTCAGTCTTTGTCTATATTTGTTTGTCATGCCAGTAAGTGCTAAAACCGTCTGAGGTTACGACTCTAACCTCTGAGAACAAGGAATGAGACACTGCGTCAAATGACGCTAGGGGAACGCCTCAGGAGTGACAGGTGTCTGAAATCGCTATCAAATCACGGAAATCACATTGACCGGGGACAGCACATGAATCATTAATGTGAATGATTAACGTGCGACCTGGATATATATAAGGGCGCCTTGCAAACATGACAATCATCCTTTCTAAAGCTCCGCATACACAGGGCAGGATGGCTGAGAGGGCTCGGGATCTACTTGAATATCACCCTCATTTTCCTGCTCGTCCTGAAGAGCACTCGCTGCAGGAACAGTAGGAGAATAGTGTTCGTCATCCACCTGCAGCTCACTCTCGTCAGCCGTCGAATCGTCTGAGAGGTTTACACCCCTCTCAAGACGATAGACGAGCTCCATCTAGGAACCCCATGATGCAAGTCACCGCTCTGCCTCAGCACGAGTGGGACCTGAACAACGAGGTCCAGATGCTGAGTCCTCTTCACTCGAGAAGAGGGCCAGACGAGAGCTGAGCGTTTTCAGAGAAAAACGCTCAGTTTGCACAGGCGGCTCCCTCGAGAACCATTCGTCATTCGACGCAGTGTGAGTTCCCTTTCGAAAGGGAACCCACTTTTACAAAAGTACATTGTTGAGAACGGCAGTAATGTAGCACGATTTGCTAAGGCAGCAATACTCTGCACGCAACCTATCATATGCACGCTACTTATGTGGATGCAGTCTGTTTTGACCGCAAAAGATGTGGTAATTTGATAATATGTCATGTATTTGACCTTTTACAAGTACCCCAGTTTGGGAACTTTTTTACAAATATTTTTAAACCATGCATGCAGAAAATAGACTATAATAATGATGTATAAAAACTTACATAGCGTTTCAAGGCTACTTCCTGAATAAAAGTTAAATAATAATAATAAAATAATAAAATCCATTTGATCTGGCAATTGATAAAATAGCACTATTTTAAAAAATCCAAAGAAATCCTCATAATTGGACTGATTCTACAGTGTTTCAAAAGGTGTCCACAATTAACAAATACATATTGTGATAATTTATCAGCTTCAGATCCTTACCTATTATTAGTCCAATTCTCTAGGTTACCATAAAAGTAATAAAATCCAGATCATATTTTGAAAAATAAGGGTTACAGACAAAGCTTGTCGTCCTCTTTCAGTTCTGAGTGAAGACTAAACCAGTCAGGTCTTTTCTTCCAGTTAAAGTGAAAACAATGCATGCTATTTCTGGGTTGCATTTTTTTTTTTTTTTTTTTACTACTGTAACAGGTGGAACAGCACATAGCACATTTATTGGAAATGTCAAGCCCATTTCTGAATTCATTCACCATAAACCTGCATTTCAGCATTGCATCTCATTACAGCTCAGCATTCTTGGTAACGGCCTTAAACTGATGTCAATCTGTGGCTGACTTTTTTCGATCTTTAGTCTGCTTAGTCTGAGGATAGATTTAATATTGTGTCTAACAAAGAAAAATACTGTTTAAAGAAAGCTTATGTGGTAGAAATCCCCCTACTCACCTGTTACCTAACTTAAGTTTACCTCCAGTCGACACCCAAGCCTCTACAGTTGACACTTAACAATATTTATACTCCAGCACTGCATCGACAGTTGACAACTGGCTTCGAGTCGGTCGGAGAACACTATCACTTTTTTGAATACTATCAAATAAGGCATTTAGTGTTCAACTAACCTGCTTAACACTATCACTTGAGAATAGAAGATGTCTAGTGTCTAGCCTGCAGACAATGAAGTCCTTCGAATATCCTTTATGAATAATTTAAAAAATACTTCACTTAACTGGTAGATTTTTTTTCAGATATTTTCATTTCAGTCAATATTTTGTTTCTTGGTGCAGAACGCTTAAGTCTTAGACTCACACTGGGCAGCAACACATCTCACCTGATGTATTTAACATAAATAATAGATGACGCTGCATGTCACGATATCTGATCTGACATTTAGAGAAAAACAATATTTCAGCAACACTTTACAACAGGATACATTAGTAAACTACATTAGATTATGACTGTATTGTTATATGCGCTGTAAAAACAAAACAAATTGAAATAAGTGTAAATGACTGGTTTGTAGGGTTGGTTCAGCAGAAACACTTAAAAATATGAGTTTTTGCGAACAACTCTTTGCAAGTTCATCCAAAAAAACATTCTGCCTACTTATTAATTTGAGTTAAGTCATTCTCATTTATAAACTGCCCTCCCGTGTATTAAAATCACATATACATCTTGGAACTGATCTGAGGTCAGATAAATGTGTAAAATCATGCGTAAACTGTGCAGATCAGCATGTGCTGTATGTCTTCATTTCCCATGAGCAACCCATCAGTTCTTGTTAAATAACTTGACTTGAAATATGCTTTCTAAATATTATTTCCTTCAAAAACAAATTCCAGTGTTCTCTTTGCCAACCAGTGACCTTATCAGCTACAAAACATGCAAAACCTGTTTTTGAAGACTCTAAAAAGACTATCTGAGGGAGTATGGAGAGAATGTTTTACAGTATACAATAGTCAAAATTATAACATATCAACACAACCCATAATAATATCAGATCAGATAGAGCAGTTGTAAATTTAGCCCTGCATGAGCAAATAGCTATAATAATTAGCTTATATTAGCTTGAGTTGATTAGAATGAATGCATTTGTGTTTTGAATGAGAGCATGATTAAATCGCAAGGATCTTTTCTGTTTGCGGAAACCTTCAACCAAAGTAACAGAAGTGATGATGTTTAGACAGAATCAATTGTGAAAGCAAGTCAGTGCATTTTATATGGTATTTATGTGGAAAGAACATTCTTGTTAAGAGAGTATATCATTCATAGGTCCATTTAATATAAAGACTAGCCATGTGAAAACAGTCTGCTGAACTTCTGCTGTTTTCTAATGTGCAGGTCTGCAATTTTCACTCTCTCTCAACCTTCCCTGAATATAGCAACAGATTTGACATAGTTTAATGTAGACAGACTTTTTTTTTTTTTGCCTTTGGATATATTAATTGTATGGCCCTTGATTTGTTTCCTGCGACATCACATTACATATGTCATCTTAGATAAAACAAGGTGAACAAATATATAGTGAAAACAGAAGTTGCGTGCAAAGTGGCATAAATGCCAAGAAAATTACTTTTTTTTTAATGCATAGGGGCAGCATACATGTAATAAACAGTTATGACTATTGCAGGATACAATACTTGGAAGTACACAGAAGTACACAAATTAATTTTTCATTTAAACATACTTTTAATGTTGCATTTATCTGCCTCTGTCCGATGTACAGTTGAATTTTTGGTAGCCTTGGTAAATATGTTCAAAGAAGGCAGTGCAAATAAATCTGCGTTGTTTATCCTTTTGATCTTCACAAAAATGAACTAACTAATCTCTGCAATTCTCCATCTGTGATCCTTGAAGAGTCTTTGGGCACTCAAACTCTCCTCCTCACCATGCATTAGGAAGTCAATATACTGTAGACACATGTCCTCTTCCAGGCAGATTTCTTAACCTCTTTTGTTGGAACTTCTTAATTTTTTGCCCTGATGGTGGAAATCCTTTAGCTATTTTCTTAAAGCCACTTGCTATTTTGTGAAGCTCAACAATCTTTTGCTGCACATTAGAACTATATTCTTTGGTTTTGCATTTTGATGAATGATAAAGGGAATTTGGCCTTTGTGTTTCCTCATATTTATACTCCTGTGAAACAAGACGTCATAGGTATAGACAATTATTTATGTGCTAAAAAACATAAATAGGGATGGGAAAATACTTCAGAGATTTTTTACTCATAAGAATTTCTGGAGTGCCAATAATTGTGGCAAACATGCATTGGAGAAAAACATGTATTTCATAATGTGAGTTTCCCCCAATTGTTTTACTTCAATGAAAGGTTAGAATTTTGAGAAGTTTTTAAATAAAGATTAATCGAATGGATAAACAATGCAGATTTATTTTCATTTGCCTTTGCTCATATTTACCAAGGGTGCCAATATTAGTGGAGGACACTGTATGTATATATATAGTACTGTTTGTGTGTGAGTCACCTTTATTTTTATTGTGCTTTGTACAATACAGATTGCTTCAAAGCAGCTTCACAATAGTAAACAGGAAAATAAAAGAATCAATGATGGAAATTTCATCAAATAATATGAGACATATTCAAATTCTGCTGTAAGCTCTAAAAGAGAATATAGTCATTATTCATAAGTATAAACTGCTTATTAAACACAAATGCCAAGACTATAGTCTCTTTATGTCTTTTTGAAGTCTTTATATATTACAAAGAAACTAATAATAGAAAGTTCAAAAGAACAACATTTATCTGAATTAGAAAGCTTTTATAAAATTACTCTCACTTTTTATAAATTTAATGCATCCTTGCTAAATAAAAGTATTAATTTCTTTAAATATATATATATATATATATATATTATATATATATATTACTGACCCCAAACCTTTGAACAATAGTGTAATGTTACAAAAGCTTTCTATTTCAGGTCAATGCTCTTCTTTTGAACTTTCTATTCATCAAAGAATCCTGAAACAATATATCAGCATATTAGAATGATTTCTGAAGGATCATGTGACACTGAAGACTGGAGTATGGATCCTGAACATGCAGCTTTGATCACAGGAATAAACTGCATTTTAAAATATATTCAAATAGAAAACAATTATTTTAAATTGTAAAAAATATTTCACAATTTTGCTGTATTTTGGATTGAATAAATGCAGCCTTGGTGAGCAGAAGAGACGTCTTTTAAAAAATCGTATCGATCTTTTTTTCAGGCTGTTCAACAATAGCACTAAAATAGCTTTAGCCCTACCAGTGCGGATTGTGGTTTTTCTGCATTTGTGTGCGTTTTGCTGTATTTTAAATACGGCTACTGTACTGTACCTGTATAACCACAGATTATCATGCCTGAAGCCTGAATGTCTATGGCATGGGCCTCCTTTATTCTTGAGAGAACTGCAAGATTCAATAAATAAACCTGTAGAATATATGAGGTTAACGGCGACATGACATTTCCATGTTGCCCGCGCTCAATCGGCCCAATGGAGGGATCCGATTAGTGGGGAAGGTCTCTGCGATTTACTGTCTTTCCTCGTGGCAAATTTGATTAAATGAATTTTTTTTTTCATATGTATTACCTCGTTATTTCATCTGACTCCATAAATGAAAAGGTTTTAATGATATCTGTGCATCATTAAATGTGAGCGAATGTTTGACTATTCTTTTTAACTCTTTACTGAATATAATGTCAGAGTCAGAATAAATTCAAATGGTTACAATTTAGACAGAAACTTCTTTCACATGGAAACATTTGCTAACAATGGGAATTTGCATTCCGAGTTTACACCTTTTGGGAGCAG